CTGGTAAATTCTTTTCATAATATTTTTGTTTTTGTTGGAGTAGAAACAATTTTATTTTTTAGTATGGAGTAAATGGCGTAACTGATCAAAGTGGTCCTAATAATCCGAAAACACGTGCTGCTGGAATTATTGCTGCGTTTGATCTTAATGCAAACAGTAAATTAAGCAGAGAAGAATTTATTACAGCGTATGTTTTGTAATATTTTATGATTTTATTTACCATGCGTTCTTTTTCATTAGGTGCACGAACGATTCTTATATTCGCCAAGTACTTTCTAAACATGCTTAAACAGGCAACTAGAATACAACAATAACTTTTTTTGCATTTTACAAATAGATAGAATATTAAGGCATATGAAGTGTAAAATGGAAACATTTTAATGAAAGTTAGTGAAGAAGATACATTTAAATAAACTATCTCGGTAGACAACATGTTTTTTTTTTATTCATTGATCTATGAATCGTGATTGTGGTGATGATCAAAAAACGTTTTTACTAGAAAAGTCAACGAATGATTCACAGCACGTGTGAAGTCCATAAATACTTACAGAGATATTTCATATGTCACAATTATTTCTTCTATGTACTGAAATTTGATATTTGTATGGTTTCTCAATCAAATTCAGAGAAATGGTAACGTGAAATTGGTGTCGATTTGGGCAGAAACTCATAGATGAAGTATTTGAAATCAGTTTTCATAATTTAGAAAAGTCTAATTATGTCAACCGATGTCAGTAAAAACTTTCGTAATTTATTATTCGAACTACAACTATGCATACGCTGGAGAAACAGGTGGGTGTAGGCGCGTGTGGGTGTGGGTGTCGGTGTAAGAGTGGGTGTGGGGCTGGGTATGGATATATTAATTTTTCAACATCCCCACACCCCACATCCATTCACAGCCACACAGTCACACACTCACACCCTAGGAAATGAATTTGATAATTGCAAGTTCAATAATTATATTTCTAGAGATGCCGCTTATCAAATTTTTCGATCCGGTTAAAACGAAATTTGTTGGAGGCAGTATTCAGATGATATTCCTGAATGGATCAGTGGTTATGCCACTATGCTTAGAACTGCTAAGCAGGTAGACACTGAATTCCATTGGAGTACAAAACTAATCATCGGAGGTCTTTCTTTGACCATGCAATGGAACACAGATGCAAATCAGAGGCTGCTGAAGGATCCAAAAAGATTCATGAAACTTCTTTTAGCCGAAGACGGAGTCATGGATATAATCAATGGTTTTGATTTCCACTCAACAGACAATGAAAATTACGATAATTCGAGAGAACGGTTGATGCTCTGTTAACTATTAGAAACACTTAGGCACTCTCCAATAAACCTGGCCGCTATGGCTGAATGGTTAAGATGTTTGACATATATGGGGTGTGGGTGTGGGTGGGTGTGGGGCGGGTGTGGGGTGTGGGTGTGGGTGTTAGGATAATTATGTTATTCTCCCCCACACCCAAATATTCATTGGTAGTTCGGACTCACATGATGCACATAGATTTGAATCAAAAGTAATAAAATCAACTACATCTCCACGGTGCAACTTTGTGATTTTTCAACACAAATATTAGTTTCCATTGTTCAATAGGTACACCAATTCCTAAATAATTCAAGAAAATGAAGATTTCTATTGACAAGTAAAAAAAAATTAATCTAAATAGAAGTTTCCTTCAGTGCTGCCACCTTTTGAAGTCCAAAAAGCAGAAAATCATTTTAAAAAGCAGAAAATGACAGAAATTTTATCATAAAAAAGCAGAATAAAAAGACAGAAAGCATTTTCTGTGATATAAAGCTGTTTTGAAACTTTGTCCCAGTATACTAATTAAGTGCTTTCACATCAAATGTTGATCATTATTGTACAGAATCAAGAAAAACAATTAATTAACAAATAAACAGGATTATGCAACAAAGTTTCTTTTGAACGTATATTTTTCATCACATTTAACAGATTTTAATAAATCTTGATTACCTAATCAATATTTATGTGTTTCAATACATGATAAGAATGAATTTAAAAGTATTGCTAATAAAGCTGATATTAGTTCTGTTCCTATACAGTTTTTTTTATCATTTAAAAAAGTTTCAATTTTCAGAATGCTGATTCCACATAAGGGTTGCTACAAAGTAGAGAATATGAAAGCATACCAGCTTCCTAAAATTTGGTGATTAAGTGAAAGAATATATAAACATCCATAACTAGTCGGAACTAACAAAAATAAAGATCATTTTTGTAACATCGAAAGAATTATAATAGAACAAAAACATTCCCATGTCATCGAAATCGTCACAAAATCGATCATTTTATAGCGATATGTTAGCGATTAATCGAGAGATTATATCGCGATAAATCGTAAAAATTGGCGATTTTTCTTGAATCCTTGCAACAAAAACACAAAATGAAAAACCCATATGACTTTGATAGAATAGGTCGACCATATATAGACTATCTGTGTCAACAGCCAAATCAAAATCGCCGATTGTATTGCGATATGCTAGCCCGATTAATTGTGAGATTATATCGCGGTAAATTGTAAAAAACTGTCGATTTTTGCTAATTTTCACCGAAAAATCGCCATTTATGCTAAACTTCGACAATATAATCACCAAATGCTAGCGATTAATTGGCGTTTTTTTTAAATGGCGGAGAATCGTCAAAGTCAGACGATTTTGAGAACATGGGTTAGTAACTATTGATAAGGATTTCTTTTATAATCGTAAAAAATGATCTGTGAGATGAAAAATATTTTAAAAACATAAATTTCGCAGTATCCAAAAAAGCAGAAAAATTCTCAAAAAGCAGAAACCACAGAAAAAAGACAGAAAATTTTTCAAAAAGCAGAATTTTTCTGCTAAAAGCAGAAGAGGTGGCAGCTCTGGTTTCCTTTCAGAGATCTAACATATGGAATATTTTCAACTCTATACTGTGAAAGAATTAGTCCTAAGAGATTAAAACAGTGCTTTTACTAACATATTTGTAAAATAGAAGCAAAATTTACGAAACTCATGATTTCTGTGATATGCTGACTATTTTAGCTGTTTGCTCAGAAAAAAAAGAAAGAATTAACGAAACAACTAAACACTCTGACTCGAAGATCATCCAATGAATTTTTCATGCAAAATAGTGTATGAAAACTTGTTCTGATAATCTAAAACAATCTACTAGTTTTTTCTTTTGCAACTTTAATTTTTGATTTTGGTCATCTCTTATACCTAAAAAGTCAAAATAATGTTCCGTTAATAATGTCATAAACCATCAATAATACAGATTTCTTTTATCAAATGAAAAAGAAATTGTTATTTCTTTTAGCTACTATCTTATCTGATAAGCATTATCTCTATTTTTCAATATGAAACTGTTAGCTTACACTTTGCTAATAAGGATAAAATATAACTGTGGTTCATATATATCCCCTGAATTCCGAATTCATACTCCAAGTATAGATAGCTCTGCGCATTGTCTGCTGACCGATACAAGATATATGTAACTAAACTCTCAGTTTTGTCCCTTGTTTTATCACCCATGCATTAAAATATACTCTGTGTAGTTCATTAAATGCATTCTCCTCATCCTATATATAGGATTGTAGAATTCAGCAATGCAAAATTTGTACTTTGCACTTCATGTACTCTGACATATTTTCTGTCATCACTCTGTGTATTGAGCGTGAGTGAAGGTGTCGACGGTGGTCTTCTTCTCATCGACACTTATACTCTAATTGCTCATGCATTAAAGCACAATATTTTTTCCTTGTTCTTTATTCTTAATTTAGAAGTATGTCAACGCTTATCTCTAAGGTCAAAAATAAATAGCAGATTGTCACCAAGAACAACGAACTAAACAGTTGCTAGAAATTGTTTTCATGTTAAAATCCTTCATTTTAACTGATAAATAGAAACTATGAAAATGTTGATTATGATTTACGTCCTTATCTTGATCTTCATGGTAGATATTTTGCATGTTGATAATTTTCAAACTGCTATTCGTAGTTATTTGATTAAAGAAGATTGGTTTCATGGATTTCAAGCAGGTGAACTTTTGATTTTCAATTCAACAGGAAAACGTTCAAAAATATCTTATGGAATCCTATTATGTATTTGGAAATAAAATTAAAATTATTGATCAAACTTCGAAACAAACAATCGCAAAAATTACGAAATCTCAAAAAACTTATTCATATGAAGATATTTTTCAATATTTGATTTATCGTCTCATTAAAAGATTCATGGAATAATAGGAATGATTTCTAATAGAACATGACACACTTTCCTGGGCGAGACATGTGATTAGGATTTACACGTTTGTTTCTAGTAAATTACCAAATTCAATTTATTTTCTTTGAGCTGTAGTTCAAGACTATAGTTATTACATTAGTTGATATAGAAGACAATATTTAACGAAAACAGAGTGGCCACTACAGTTTATACGTCTTTTCATGATAAATTAATGTTTTATGTTACTAAACAATCGATTTTATCAATATTTAAATTAAATATATTTTAAAAAAATTACATGTATTTCAAATTTTGCTTCAGCTAAGGATTTTTAAATTTAATTCAAACCATTCAGAAAGAAAACATTACAGATGTTATATAAATGCTATAAAAACACACATGATTTAATGATTTACATCAAATCTAAATGAAACACATTAGTTATTCATCTATTCGACTACTACAATTAAAAGTTCATCAAAGTCAAACAGTTAAGTTCGACTTCAATCCTTATCAATTAATTAAGAAAAACAAGAAATAAATCGATTGGAAAAATAATGGAACAACTAAAAGACTTCAGAAATCTTCGAAAAAACAGCAACTCTAGACATCGTTTGAATAGCAGTATCGAATCTAGAATTTTGAAAAAGTAAAACGATCATCGATGGTCATATTTATCTGTGACATAATCTAATATTAAAGTATTCTGAAGATGAAATGTCTAGTTTATTTTAATATACAGGAAATAACAAAAAGAAAAACTAATAATAAAGTATTTAAGCATCATTAGAATTATTTTGATGACCAAGAACACGATATTTAAGATCCTAAAAGAGAGAAAACAAATAGACAAAAGAAATGAACACTAGTTAAATCAACTTACTTCGACCATTTTATGCGTTTGATTAGCTTTTGAACCAGCTGTTATCATTCCTGTATAAACATTTTTTGCTGTTGCAACTAAATCTAAAGAAGCCCAAACATTTACAATGAAACGAATAACGTCTGATTTACCTTCAGTAGTAACACCTAAACCATTTGTTTGTAAACGTTTTTCAGCACAATCTAAAACATCTTGACATTGTTTATAATTTACTTTAATGTCTTCAACTTTTTGCATTAAATAACTAAAAAAAAAAAAACCAAGAAAAATAATATCCTGTTTAAACAAATAAAGAAAGTATTTACTTATCAACAACACGATCTTCAATATCAGCACCTAATGGAAGTGATCGAAGATATTTACATATAGTTGCATTATACAGTTCCTAAAGAAAAAAATTTTTTTTTTATATATGAATGATTATAATTGTTTGAATGTCTAAAATACTTGTTGATATGCTTGATTTATTTGAGCAAATGTAGCTTCATCTCTTTGAACATCATTTTGAATATCTAAAACATGTTGTTGTACACGTACAATTTGTTCATGAACATTAACAAATTTGCTTGTTGATGTATGTTCCATATCAGTTAATAATTGTTCAGTTTCAGATAACATTGTACTAAAAATATTTCAATTTTTTTTTTGTTTTATAAAAAGAAAAACGAAGTAAGTTGTGTTTTACATAAAATTTTCAACAAGATCATTTAATTGTGATGGTAATAATTGATCCATTGGTTCAGATGATTCTTTTGGTTTTTGAATACTACTGGCAGAACCTGTATATAAAAAGAAAAATATTTATTTTTTTATTTCGATTAAGTCTAACCGAGTGTTGCTGTTGTAAATAAACTAGTTGTACTTGTAGTTGATGCACTAGTTGTTGTAACTGTTGATGGTGGAGCATAATAACCACCAAGACCAGTACTTGTTGTTCCTGTTGTTGTTGTCGTTATTGTTGGTATAGTTGACTAAATAAAAGACAATAATGAAAATAGATCATTTTTAAAAATTGAAAAAATATCTTACTAATGTAGCTGCACTAGTACTAGCAGGTGTTGTTGTAGGTGCTACAAATCCACCTGTTGTTGTTGTAGGTGCTACAAATCCACCTGTTGTTGTTGTAGGTGCTACAAATCCACCTGTTGTTGTTGTTGATACAGCAGGAAATGTGGAAATACTTGATGTACTTAGACCTATTGGAAATGTTGTTGTAGCTATTGGTTGAGAAAGAATATTCGAAATAGCATTATTTGATGATGAAGTCGATGCTATGGTTGTTGCTGCTGGTACAGGAAGAAAACTAGCTGAACTAGGTGTTGCTGTTGAAGTAGTAAATGGCAAAGGTGCACTTAATGTACTTGTACTACCGGTTGTTGTTGTCATAGGAGGTATTAATGAAGTAGCAGGAGTTGCCGTAGTAGAAGCAGCAGTAGCAGCTGTATTTGTAGTAGATGTTACTGATGAAAACAACGAAGCCGCCTAGAAAAATAAAAATATTCGGTGAAAAATAAGAAATTGTTCTTTGGTTTTTAAATAACTATTGAAACAAGAAATTTTCATTTTTTTGCTGTGATAATTAAAATGAAAGAATCATATGTGAATGAATAATTTCAGTTAAAAAAAGAATAGAACTAACCGAAGGAGCCGCTGTAGAAGTTGCCGCTGTAGCAGCAGATGGAGTAGAGAATGGAAATGATGGTGCTACTGTTGAACTCGATGATGTTGTTGATGGTGTAGCAAAAGAAAAAAGTGTTGAAGTTGGAGCAGATGTTGTAGTTGATGCTTTTGTGATAGCAGGTGTTGTTGTGATAGAGAATGTTGATGGAGCAGCAGCATTAGTATTAGTAACAGTTGCAGCAATAGTAGTACTATTGGAAGGAGTAGCAAACGAAAAAAGACCAGTCGACGGAGTGGTGGTTGTTGTTGAAGTTGTGGCTGTTGGAGCACGAGTAAACGAAAATGGAGTTAATGTCTAAAATAGATACATAGAATAACAATTGATTCTTATTTTTATTCATTGTAAAAAATTGAAAAGAAGGATTACCGGTGCATTTGTAGTTGTTGTTGCAGTTAATCCAAAATGTGTTGTTGATGGATTGCTTGGAGTAAAAAGAGATGACGATGGAAAACCTGTTGAAGGTATAGCTGCTTTTGTTACCGATGTTGTTCCAAAGGATGTTGGTGCTGCAGTACTAGTACCAAACGGTGTCGTCGTTGATGGATTTACACCAATTGTAAATGAAGATGTTGTTGTACTTGGTACTGTAGCAGCAGTAACAGCAGCAGCAGGTGTTGAACCAAATATTGATGTTGAAGGTTGAGTTGTAGTAGTCGTATTTGTTCCTCCAAAAGCGAATGTCGATGGTTGTGTCGAAGTTGCTGTACTTGTCGATCCAAATGTAAAAGACGGTTGTGTTGCTGGAGTTGTTGTACTGGTTGCTCCAAATGTAAATGAAGATGGTTGTGTAGTAGGTGCTGTAGCTGTTGATCCGAATGTAAATGTAGAAGGTTGAGTTGTAGGAGTTGCTCCAAATGTAAATGAAGATCCTTGAGTGGTAGGAGCTGCAGCTGTTGAACCAAATGAGAACATACTTGATGTAGGACCAGTAGTAGCTGTTGTTGTTGGGGCAGCTGCTGGTGCTGCACCAAACCCGAATGTTCCAGTAGTACCACCACCAAATGATGCACTTGTAGGTGCAGTTGTCGTACCAATAGAACCAAATGTAAATGGACTAGTAGAAGTTGTAGTTGTTGGAGCAGTCGTTGTCGAACTACTACCAAATGTAAATGGACTAGCACTTGCCGTAGTCGTATTTGTCGGTGCACCAAATGAAAACATTTTTCTAAAATATTCAGTTTAATTTTAATAAAAAGAAAAGACAGATTGAAAAATGGAATTCTATTTCAATGAAAGTTATTGCTGTTCGTCTCTAATAATAACTGCAATGAATGAATGAGTCATTTATCACAATATGTATTAACTAAGAATTACCAGTCAAAATGCTTAACTTATCCTCTCGAATTGATTTCAGTTAAAAATTCTTTATCCGGCTTGACCTCTTGTTCTTGACAGAAAAGTGAAAAATTACTTACAAAAAAAATTTTCTAAAACTCACTGTTAACATTTATACAATAGATGTCGTTAGCGCATGTTATGGATGTATTAATTCGAAGTTTCTATCTTCATTTTAAATAAACGAAGACGTAATGAAATCTTCACAAACAAGACGTTGCTTCTAGATATTTTTAATATTTTTTTTTTTTACATTCCACAGTCAGTATGTATGACAACATTTGTTAATGCTATCCGAATTTTTATTATTTCTTATTCTCTTGTCTAACAAAAGTTTTATTTTTGTGATAAAAGTTCATAAATAAATGAAATTGATGCTTTTTAAATCTTCATCACAATAATATTATGGTTTTCACATTTAAATGTTATTATTAATAACGCGACGTCCCGCTCGATGAAAATACTTTCTATATTCTATCTAATGACATACAATACACTTTCATTGAATTTTCCCTCTTTATGTGTATGATGCAAGACTCTTATAGTATGGTTGTTTTTTCGACTATCGGTGTAAAGCAAAAAAGTCTAAGGCTCACTACATCCTATGACATAAACAGCAGATGTATAATCATTAAACAACTTTTCTATAAACTTGACCAATATATAAATATACATATGTTTTCAAATCTGAAGAAAATCGAAATAACTCGTCGTATAAAACCAGAAATGATTCCAATACTCCAAAAAGACTTTATAGTAAGTGATCACTCTAAAGAACGGTGGTCATATAATTCTGGACATTGAGACACTTCCTATGGATATTTTCCTTTTTTCTTTTCACAAAAATTTCAGAGAAGTCTTCAATGTTTGTCTGTCTTCGGGAATATTTTAAAATAGAAAATGAACTGAATGAATTCAGTTTTATATGAATTAATATAGTCTTGAAATAATTTAAGATTATGGTTCATAAGCAGGTTGTTATTTTATCGAGCAGTTATATGAGATTTTTGGATGTCATAAATATTGAACTTCATTTCTTATTTTGACTATTTTCTAATCAATAAAATCATATTTATTTAAACAACAGAACTTTTTTAGTAGGTTAGATTTTAGACTGTTATTCATGAAATGTGTATTCATTTATTAGTGTTTTCGATAGATTCAGATTCTGTAGATTTCCTTCTACAAGTTATGAGGTATAAGATGCAATTACTAAGACACCTCAAATTAAGTGCTAGAAAATTTTAAAACAGAAAATATATAGAATCTTGCATTTAAAAGTCTTGTTTTTTGCCATTTAGAAAGAAATAAAAAGTTGTTTAAATTAAAAAATTAACTTTTTATCCTTTTTTTTATTCTATCGTTAATTAAGACTTGAAATTTTAATGTCAGATCAAATAAAATTTCGTGTACTTCCAATATTAAAACATCAAGATTATAAGTTTTTCTGTTTTATTTAAATATATGAATTTTTGATCGAAAATCATATTTGACTTGTCTTAATAATTTAGTCCTTTAATTGCTTCAACCTTTTATATTATCTAATGAATATTATTCTTAGTAAAATTTCTCAATTATATTCATTCTATACAAAAAAAAAAAAAATAAAAGACATGGAAATAAATATTTTTTTAAAATAGGTATAGTTAACCTTTTTTCTTGGTAATCGCTGATGGTTGTTTTCATATGTTATATTACTTTTGAAAGTGTAGATACTTCATTAATTTCATTCGTAAAAAGATTTATTTTATTTAATTGATAGGATGAAATCAGATAAAACATTGATAATTTTTTCTTATCGATCTAATATCTCTATAAGTATGGCAAACATTACTAGTTGAGATTATTGTTTTCTTTTTCTGTATATGATTTTGTGTTTTAATTAGCCTTTAAACAGAAAAAAAACGCCATTGCATGTAGTTCGAAACATTTTTATTTTTTTGTTCTATGAATGTGTGCGTGCTTATGTCCGTCTAAATCAGTAATGTTTCTCATAAAGAAACAAGTCAACGTACACAAATATAACTGACTAGGAAGACCATATTTGATGTTTCATTTATTTAAAATAACTTCAAGTGGAATTCTATTTTGTTTTAAATAAAATGACACATTCTTTGGTTACAAATATGTTAGTCTTTAGTATTCCTGTGCATCAACATGGAGTAATAACGAAAAAAAAAACAGTTCAATGGATGTTTGTTTTTACGGGAGAACAGACAATAGGTTATACATACAATTGAAAATAGATGAGAGTCCAAGAACTTTTTTGTAATAGAGCTTCTTGTAGATCAGAAGAAAACACAATAATAAAAAATTTTGAAATTGAAATTTTATTTTTAATAGAATAAGTTATGATAAATAAAACAATCGTCAGATATGGCTTTCATCATTTATTTTATTATTTTAAATAATTTGAGTATAAAACAAGTATGAAAGAATAATTATCATCATTTGATTTGAATAATAAAGTTGAAAAAAAAATTCGGTATAGCTTCATCACCAGAAGTAGTTTGTTTATTGAAATTCTTATATAATTATTGGATATAATTATTTATAGATTGATACAATCGAAGAAGAAAATGAAATCGAATCAATTGAAATGCTCGAGTGTAGAGTGTGTGGTGTTCCAGCTTACGGATACAATGTTGATCAAATTTCATGTGAATCTTGTAAAGCATTTTTTCGACGTAATGCTGTTCGACATATGGTGAGCAATTATAAAAGAAACATGTAATTGATCTTGTTTAGAATTTTTCAATTAAGTGCAACGGTCTATGAAACTCAAAGTTAAATCTTTTAATCATTTAAAAATAAAAGAATAAATCTTACTATATAGAAAACATATAATTATCATTTTTATTTTTTTTTTAATAATTTTATGAATAACATTCAAATTGAACATGCAAGGTGTCCCACAAAAAAATGTATACACTTTCACCTTCTCTAGTACACAAAATACTTTTTCTTATTTTAGTTGTTTCCTTATTTATCGAACATATGAAGCTTAATACTCTACAACAGACGTTCAAATTGCCCACCATCGACATTCATGCAGACATTACAACGTTTGATGGCAGAGCGACATACAGAGGCACATGTTGTCGATGGAATAGCGGTAGAGAAATCAACAGTCCACTGTTGGAGTTCTTAAATAGCCGCGGGCTTTGAAGCGTAAACATTCGTTTTCAGCATACCCCATAAGATAAAATCTGGAGGCGTGAGGTTTGGAAAGCGTGGTGAATATTCCACTGGTCCGTGGCGTCCCATCTATCGCCCAGTAAAATGTTCATCCAAAAATTCCCGTACATCTCGATGAAAATGTGGAGGAGCTCCATCATGCTGAAGCAACACTTCTTCGTCATCGTACAAGTTCTCAATAGCGGGAACAACATTTCTAATCAGGAGATCGATGGTGGACAATGTGAACATCTGTTATAGAGTGTTAAGCTAAAGTATATACATTTTTTTGGGATACCCTGTACAAATATCAATTTGATGTTGAACAAGTGTTTTATAACGTGAATTTGAAAATTCATTATTAAGCCACCAACAAGATGATTCAATCAATGCATAGCCAGCTAATGTTCGTTAAGTACTTAATAATTTATGAAAAGTACGTCTTAGATTGTCAACATAGTATTTAACATCATTTAATGTCGAAAAATCTATTAGATTTTCTTGATTAACTCCATGATGAAATACTTAATTGTATGTATGCACTATTGATTCAACATTATTTCGACATAACACTAATGTTGCTAAAACAATATATATGCAAAAGAATTACTGTTTTTGTATACAAACAAAGAATTCTTAACAAGTTTACATCTAATCTATTTAACAACACGTTATTTCATCAAAATAAAATTGAATTTAATTCTTACTTTACAAAGAACTGAAAAATAATTTATGCATCCATATGAAAAAGATTGACAGCGCAATCCCTTTAAAGCTAAAATGTGGAACTTACATGTGCTCTTTTGCCACAATATACTAACACAAAATATATTAAGTGAAAAATCTCTCGAAAAACTAGAGAAAGCTAAATCTTGTTTTTAATTTAATTCAGCACTATTTTCTGTTGCTAAGGAACTCGGTATAAGAAGTTTGACTTTTGCTCTCCTCGGTTGCTATAAAAATCTGCCCGATGGTAGTTGATCTTCCCATGGTTGATATGAGAGAACCTTAAAAGCTCGACTTAAAACTTTTGTTGACTATATTTTTGTTTGAAACACATAATATAAATAGCACAAAACCTCACATTAATTAATATATCAAAAAGTTCTTTATCTGTTGTAAGGTTAATTGAATATAAGTGAATCTTGGTTATCAAGTGCTACGAAAAACAAGGAGAAAATTGAAAACTTTTAACTTGACGATAGAAACTCTCATAAATAATAAAATATCTTCAAATAACTACTATAAATATTTTCTTTGAGTAAAACAGTAGCAAAATGTAGAAAAATGATAAGAGCGAGAACAGGAACAATACTAATTCTGACTAAATTCTGTTGAATTCTAAGAAGTGCATAATTTTCAGCTGTTAATGAATCTGAAAATGGTAAACGTCCTAAATTAGCAAGAATTGGTGCGAATGCAGTTACTGTAACAGGACGACCTCATCGAGGATATAATTTCATATAACCACCAAAGAGCATCCATGGACGAAGCATTATTATTGTTCTATATAGATCATTTCCAGCTGATAAATATGTAACCTATGCTCACATAACACCTTGGATTATGAATAGAAAATAAACAATTAATTTTTAATATAAAGAATAAAAATACAAGTGATATCAAATAATGTTTCAATTAATCTCATT